TTAATATATAGTTTGTTCCGAAATAGAGACGGTTATTAAATGTGATTTGCAATTGATTGATCAATATGTATGTCGTCTTTCAGTTATGACAGAGTAAATCTTGTTGATTATTCACAGACGTTATGTAATTTTGACCAACCCGTTTACTTCTATTTAGGCTATAATTATCTATCCTATTGACAAAATGTTTTTCGTCCCGTGGGAGATTGCCAGAGAAAGCGCTTACTAATATCCCGGAAGTTCCATATATGTATACGGAAACGTATACAACAATCACATTCGTGGAAATGTGATGTCCTCGACGATGACCTGTCCATAGCATATATTACTGAAACACCTTACTATGCAACAAATTACCATCAAATTACCATATATAATCAAAAATCATACACAATTAATACTGCGTCACCCAAGCAGATTTGACGAACGTTTGTGCATCGTTATTATTACGTACGTAAGAAGCCAACCATCGAACGCTTCATGAAACAAATTTGAAAATATAAAAGAATATTTTAAACTATTCGGGAAGATTTGGGGGGATTTGTCCAGAAAAATATGAAGGATATGCGTGATAATTATTAAAATTAGGGCAAGAAACATTGGAATATGTTTGTTTGTCGGTATTTCTGTATATCGGAGGATATATCAGCCGATATACCCTGCGTACGTCTGTTGTTGCAAGACAATGCCTCTCTCCTGGAAGGACCCCGGTCTGTCAAGAGATTTCTTCCCATATGTTAATTCAACCTTTTGTACAGCTGGGTAAATTGGTTTGTGTGAAAAAGAAGTTACTGTAACCAGTTACATGTTACTAGCAAGGGTTAGAACGTCATTATATTAATGTGTATAAGTTTTACGCAGGTAATAAGGAATGATTCTCCGAGCCTGAAACAAATTTGTAATAATGATAACGCACGTGCTACGGGCGATAACTACCACTAAGTGCAAGTGGTTTCTCTAGCTACCTATTTTAATTATTTTTATTTTTATTTTCGTTATTTTTTTGCGCCTGCGGTAGTGTGTCTGTGAGACATGTTACACAAGGGCGCCGCTTGAGTGACGACACACAAAGAATCGTGTTTCCCTACCACACGGGCAATATATATTATATTATATTGAAATGAAACAATAACGCTACAGTATGGATGACAGTATGGATGACCAAAATGACGCGCCATTGCTGCTTGCTCATTTTTCTAGGAAGAATTTGAATAAAGGAAATATAACCGAGAAACTCGAGAGTGTGAGGGCGACAAGATGTTTTATTTCCTCGTCACGTGATTAATATAATCCAATAAGACACGCTGTTATAAAGAGCCGGTATAGTGCTACTTATGCACTGTATAGGTTTTATAAAGATATCATCAGTTAATATTACCGGACTTGATTCCATATCATCCCTATTGCCTTCACTAGAATCTAACAATATACGATTGTATGCACATAATAACGAATGTTAGAGATAAATATGAATATGAACTTTATTTTATTTTACAAAAGTTATGAAACAAGTTTTTGTTCAACTTATATCAATCAGTCAAGTTGGCTCGGATGGAAGAGACGATTCCTTTCAACGTCCAATCGGGGAATCAAACCCCAGTCGTCCTGGTGAAAGGCGAGTGTTCATCCACTGCGCCACCCAATAAGGGATAAATGACGTGAGAGAACCGTCTGCAGCAAACATTTTGGTGACGCCATCCTGTTCCAAGAATCTTGTTTGCAAGGACAACAAAGACACTTCAATATCGAAAATATAAGGGAATACCTATATTTAGATCAATTATAACTATGAAATTGAGAATGTAAACATATGTATTGAACATCATTTTTCAAGGTTCATGCTGGTATGAACAATGAAAATATGCCGTTCAATTGTCATATACATGTAATACAATATTTATCACCCTCGTGAAGCATCCTTTATCCCAGGGAAACAAATAATCGTTTTCCCCTCATATACTTTAGTAATATACAAAGCGTGTGATACATGCCACCGCTTATCCTAAATCGGTAGTTTGGTAGTATCTATCTATCTATCTACAATATATTGACCACCTCCATCAAGTGGAAGATTATGTCAAGGTGTGAGTGAGAGAGTGATAACGCTAAGAAGAGAAGGAAAGAAAGAGGGAGAGGGAGAGATAGAAAGATAGAGAAGAAATGGCTTAGAAGTGGAGAGAGCGAATTGCAAATTTGAAAGCCGAAGTTGAGGGGATTTATGCAATGTCAGGTGGCAAGGAGTTCTAGTCAATGATTGTTCTAGGAAAGAAGTAACTACATCACACAATATTAAATCGTTCATGTTGTTCATACACGTCAGTTTGTTCTTTCCTTTTATAGAGAAACTTTATCATTTCCTAACAATAATGGAACAAGTTAGGTCAACTTAAAGGACTTCGGCCAAGATTTTTTACATTTTGTAAAAATAAGCGAAAGCTGTAATATTATTTAATGAATACAGAATCATCCATCAACGAGCGTTCAGATGTTGTTTTTCCTTACGCTTCTTAGTCACTAATGGGCGGATTGGTCGAGTGGTTCGATCCCCTAAGTCGTTGTACGCATGGAATATTAAGAGAACGTGTTTTTCTCCTGCCCACACAACTCCAACAACCCAGGTGGAGTATAAAATGGTCTGGGTTGGATGTTGCGGTATCTGTGCAGTGGCATTCAAGTGAGGTGGCACTATAAATGATACCGTTGGAAGTACGGTCCCACTACAAACAGAACAGAATACATATCCAGCACACACGCAGGCATACACACATAGGGAGGTTTTAGCCAGGTGGTATAGGTAACTACTAGTAGTTAGCGTCTGATAAGGCAGCTCCTGCGAATTACTCAAAATTGTATTGATTGCATTAAATTGTTTATCTATGTACTGTAAAGCGCTTAGAGTGGCTTATGTTAGCTAGATATATAGGGCGCTATATCAAATGTTGAGTATAAAGAACGAAACACTCTGGGAAGAGATTGGTCTATTGCGTCTGATTTCTATGCGAAGAAAGATAACTCATGGAGTTTCTGAACAGTTTTGGGCACACCAGAGTTGTGTCCCTTCCAAACGACAAAAAAAAAAGATTATGTCCACTCCAGAAAAAGCTGTTTAAATAAGCAGGTACATTATTGTAAGTAAATACATGTGAAACATTGACAGAGCCAATTATAAAAAAAATAATATTAAACACATATAATAAACTGACAGAGCCAGGTACATAAAATATACTGATAGAGCCAGGTACATATAATATACTGATAGAGTCGGGTACATAAAATATACTGATAGAGCCAGGTACATAAAATATACTGATAGAGCCAGGTACATAAAATATACTGATAGAGCCAGGTACATATAATATACTGATAGAGCCAGGTACATTAAATATACTGATAGAGCCAGGTACATATAATATACTGACAGGGCCAGGTACATAAAATATACTAATAGAGCCAGGTACATAAAATATACTGATAGGGCCAGGTACATAAAATATACTGATAGAGCCAGGTACATATAAAATACTGATAGAGCCAGGTACATATAATATACTGATAGAGTCAGGAACATATAATATACTGATAGAGCCAGGTACATATAATATAATGATAGAGCCAGGTACATAAAATATACTGATAGCGCCAGGTACATATAATGTACTGATAGAGCCAGGTACATATAATATACTGATAGAGTCAGGAACATATAATATACTGATAGAGCCAGGTACATATAATATACTGATAGAGCCAGGAACATTAAATATACTGATAGAGCCAGGTACATATAATATACTGAGAGAGCCAGGTACATATAATATACTGATAGAGCCAGGTACATATAAAATACTGATAGAGCCAGGTACATATAATATACTGATAGAGCCAGGTACATAAAATATACTGATAGAGCCAGGTACATAAAATATACTGATAGAGCCAGGTACATATAATATACTGATAGAGCCAGGTACATATAATATACTGATAGAGCCAGGTACATAAAATATACTGATAGAGCCAGGTACATAAAATATACTGATAGAGCCAGGTACATATAATATACTGATAGAGCCAGGTACATATAATATACTGATAGAGCCAGGTACATAAAATATACTGATAGAGCCAGGTACATAAAATATACTGATAGAGCCAGGTACATATAATATACTGATAGAGCCAGGTACATTAAATATACTGATAGAGCCAGGTACATATAATATACTGACAGGGCCAGGTACATAAAATATACTAATAGAGCCAGGTACATATAATATACTAATAGAGCCAGGTACATATAATGTAGATAGTATATGTTTAATGAGGACAAACCTGTATACATAAATGAAATGATCAACAGAGGGTAGTATTTCTAATAATCATTAGAGAATGAACAATTTACCCATTGTTACTACTTTCATTTTTTAAATAACCCAAACAAAGGCTTAAAACCATACTAATTTCCTGTGCTGGTACCACTAAATAGAAATACCAAGTCATTTTGACTTATTATGGAGAAAAGCTTCACCTTGTACAACTTTGCCAAACAATAAAACGATTAAGAATAACTCCCCAATTCTAAACAACAATAATTGAAAAAGTTTATTTTCTGTATTGCCTTTTTCCCATTAATGATTATCTTAGTGATTTTGACTTTAAATTGCTGTTTTCATACTATTGGAAGTTCATTTGTTGTACAAATGTAGCACTTTTCAATCAATTACAGGTATATGGAAAATTCCATGTCCCATCACTCTGTACTATAGGGGCATGGCATAGATCCTAAACCCCATGGCCTTATATATCAGATGTTTGGAGATCTGTGCTGCTTTCAGAGGAGTTCCCTGTGCTTTGCACCATTGTGGAAAGTTATTGAATATTATCATAGATTGTTTTACCTTATTTCCCATTAATGTACAAGTAAATGGTCCAGTATGTCTGCCAAAACTTTAGCATTTGGAATCAAAACCCACTAAAAATGGTGGGTTTTTTTTCTTTTCTAAATCATGTTTACAGCTTTTCTTACAGGTCAATCAAACCTGGACTTCATCCCTTCCCCAGTCCTTCAGGATATCGTAACCAAGATGATGTATCAACCATCCTGATTTCATCCCTTCCCCAGTCCTTCAGGATATCTTAACCAAGATGATGTATCAACCATCCTGATTTCATCCCTTCCCCGGTCCTTCAGGATATCTTAACCAAGATGATGTATCAACCATCCTGATTTCATCCCTTCCCCGGTCCTTCAGGATATCGTAACCAAGATGATGTATCAACCATCCTGATTTCATCCCTTCCCCGGTCCTTCAGGATATCTTAACCAAGATGATGTATCAACCATCCTGATTTCATCCCTTCCCCGGTCCTTCAGGATATCGTAACCAAGATGATGTATCAACCATCCTGATTTCATCCCTTCCCCGGTCCTTCAGGATATCTTAACCAAGATGATGTATCAACCATCCTGATTTCATCCCTTCCCCAGTCCTTCAGGATATCGTAACCAAGATGATGTATCAACCATCCTGATTTCATCCCTTCCCCGGTCCTTCAGGATATCTTAACCAAGATGATGTATCAACCATCCTGATTTCATCCCTTCCCCGGTCCTTCAGGATATCGTAACCAAGATGATGTATCAACCATCCTGATTTCATCCCTTCCCCGGTCCTTCAGGATATCTTAACCAAGATGATGTATCAACCATCCTGATTTCATCCCTTCCCCGGTCCTTCAGGATATCTTAACCAAGATGATGTATCAACCATCCTGACTTCATCCCTTCCCTAGTCCTTCAGGATATCGTAACCAAGATGAAGTTTCTACAAAGAATTTTACATCCAGAGTCAGAAAATAATAAAATAAGCTTTCAACTTTTTGGTCGTGTATTTTTTTTTATAAATGATTATTTGTTTAATTGAGACTTAAAAAACTCTGAATCAGCCCTGTTGCCATGGACAACTATGAAGGTTAATACATATTGATGTGTGAAAACAACTAGGTCATGTACCAAAAATTATTACAGATTCCATTTTTTTTAAAACAATAAGACATCGACTTAGATTGTTTTTTATATGAATCTATATCAATTTTATATATGAATCTATATCAATTTGTATATGTTCCACTTTTGAATGCTTTTCAAGAAAAATGATGGTTTATATTGATATTTTTAACACAATGAGTGATACCAAATTTTGCCAAATCTCTATTTAAATATACGTGTATATAGAATTCTCTTTTGTCTTGATATACTTTTAATTTCTTATTATCAGTGTTTAAACGATAGAGTTATATATTACATTTCAAATTTGGTCAAATAGGTGATTTTCATTATTTTCTTGATCACAAAAAAATCCTCCCCCCTCCCATTTTTGTTTTTTAGTAACATTTCCAAAACAAAAAATACAAGTACTGGTCAAGAAATTGTAAAAAAAAAGAAAACACAAGAGGAAAAAAAAAAAGCACCGTTCAAATAAGTGGCTAGGCCACCATGATTCTCAAAAATGACCACATTAACTAGTTCACCACTGACTTCAGTTTAAAGATGCATATTCCAAGCAAAACAATATATAATAAACATGTAATTTTACATATACATGATCAGGAAGCATGATTTTTCCTGAAAATCACTCAAGTCACAGGGGACTGTATTTTATATAACACTCAAATGTTTAAAATGAAACAGACCCCTGTGACTTTTAACTCATACACCCCTGAAGACACATTTGAACCCTTCCAATTCAAATGTTGGGATAGTTCATTATAAAATTTCAGGGGTGAATGAGTTTAGTAAATAATGCCAATCTTTTGATCCCTGTTTTGTATAATTGAATGGCAACATGAACAGGAACCATTGACTGTAACATGTTAGCATGTAAATGTGCTGTGACGCTGCCCTGAAGTCATTTCAGTACAATGTGTATGATCTGAAAATCTATACATTATCAACAAAAATAATACACATCTTTTGAACAATGATGTTCGTCTATGGTAGGTTTCTCTGCATCTGTTACCATGGTAGTAACAGAGACAGGGGACCAGATAGCACTTTGAAGCTTCTTTTGTTTACTCATAATACTTAAGAATCTTCACATTTACCTGTCCGAACACTGCCCATAAAACATTTTTGTGATCAATGCCAATAACTCCAGCATCAATTGCGTCGACATGGAGTAACCGAATGAACTGTCCATCACCAGAAAGAAGGCGGATACATCCGTTGGCCCTGTCACTGATCACGAGGTGACCAAAAGTGTCAAACTGGACATCACAAGGGCTGAATGGATTGTCCATCTTGCAGCCCCCTCGGGTGTGAGGAAGATCTCCTTTGTAACGAAAGAGCTCTTGGAAATCCTTGTCAATGACCAGCACCTGTTTTTGATACTGACCTCCATCCTCTTCCTTATCCATGTCCATCACTGCAACGTGTCTGGTGATACCGCACTCTGACATCCGGTATGCTGAGCGGACTAGCGGTGCACTACGTTTGAAGAAAGAGGTCTTGGTTGTTGCCTTTCCAGAAGTGAGCAGGATTGTGCCACAGGGGGTGTATTTCATGATTTTTTTCGACGATCCAACCAGAATGTGTTCATCTACTGTAACACAAAGACAGTAGACCTTGGAATCTGGAGTAAATCTGGTGGTTGTCTGTTTCAATGATGTGTCGCATTCCATGATTTCGAAGTTATCATCCGAACACAACCAGAGGTTCTGTGTATTGGGCGATATTTGGACATCTCTGATTGGTCCTTTGTACTGCAACACTGTTTCCGTTTTTCCACGTTTGTCCAGCAGTGTCACTGTGTTTCCATGGTTACAAATCCATGCACCATTGTCACGGTTTGGACAAATAGAACTGATGAAATCTTCAGATTTGAACTCCATCATCTTCTCGGTGTGAATCAGGGGTTTATGTTCGGCCGAAGTTGTCAATTCGCCAAAGGCTTTCTCCAGACAGCTACTGGGGGCTTCATTAGGAACAAATGTGAAACAATGACGTGAAGGCTGTATCGGAAGGGGTTGTATTGGTTTGGTTATAAGTTCATACCCAGTATCATAAGTCTGAATGTCTGTTCCCTCCGCAAGTATATGTTTACAATTTCTTAAGTTGTCATTCACGGCATCCAGACGAGTATGTAGGTCGGTAATGTAAATTTGTAGCTTTCTTTTATTTTCCTCTTCTAACTGTTTGTACAAACCTTTGGACATGCAAGTGATAACGTCGATTTTGAGTTTCAATGCCTTCCCCTGCTGCACAATCTTCTCTGTAAGTCGATCGTACCTGTGAGACGTCTGCATAAGTTCGTCCTCCGCCCACGTTAGACACTGAATGAGTTGTAAGCACTGCCTATCCTCCGTGGTATCTATGTACTGTTGAATCTTTGCCCGTGTCGATGTAGTAAGATCGCTCAGTGCACGCATCTCATGGCCCTTGTGTACAGTAGACAGACATGTCAAACAAGCTAGATCCTTACACAAATCACAAAACAGTGTCAAAGTTCTACCTGGGTGATGAGCACACGCACTTTGTCCAGGTTGTCTCGAAGGAGCACACACTTCTTCACTCGCCATCTTGAAACCCTTGCCCTAGCCTGTTTCGGTTTCGATTTAGGGTGGCGCGCTGTGATTTATGTGGTTGAGGCGACTAAATTCAATTAATAGAATGGATCCATCAGATGACTTACATGACAGCTATGCTCCTGATTTGTTAAGGAGTACGAAGTTGGATAGTAATTTCAACTGCAGCTTTATATATGACGATTATTGTATCGCGATAACCTTAACGTAAAAATACACATGTGGCTATTTAGATTGTTTTCACCACACAAATTATTACATTGAAGTCACAGACAATGCTGTACATAAAGCAGTATAATTAATTGTACACAAGATAACGGAGGATGAACAATGTGAAACAATTTAGCTCCTTGTCATAAATTATGCAATTAATAAATGAACTATACAAGCAGAGACGTTTTAAGTTGTTTTACATTCCCTACAGACAGAAGTTGTCCAAGCTTAAAGACAGTAGGGCGACGCCAGAAATATGGCTTAAGATATTTTGATCTAATATCAGAATAAAAATTACAGACAACATCCACTACTACATTTGGCACAAATTCTAAGGTGTCTCGCCAAATTAATATATCTTCCAGATTCAATATTTAGACTATGTGATGAAAGCCTGTATTTACAAATTATTTTGCCAGTGTAAAAAGTTAATGACTCATCAAATACTTTCAAAAACATCATTTCTACTCCAAATTATACAGATATATGTACACTAATGACCAGTCTGTAAAAGAATACCTAAATAAAGTGTAATACATAGACCATAATTGTCTAAGTTCAATTTCCATAAGCTTCCACTCACCCTTCAATACAATTTGCGTTATTTGTTCCTGCTATTGAAAGTTCTTCATATGTATATCGGAATATCCAGTGTTAGCAATTTCAGTATTAGAATAATCAAATTGTGTTAAAAACCATGACCCTCTGCTCCCTGCCAGGCCATAAGAAATGATAAGAAAACCCCGGAAGCTGGAGGAATACAAGTACAAAATAAAATGATTTATTTTCCATATTATGAACAGAGACAGATCGTTGAATTTTGAATATTGTTGAGGAAGGCCCGTGTTCGAGCGTATAATGCTTGAAGCCCCTAGCTCCTGATGAGGGTCCAGTGGCGAAGACCCGGCGGGGGCATGAGATAATATAGACTAGTGTATTTTCAATATGTTATAAACAGGGGCAGATCCATTAATTTTATGTTGAAAATAGTTACACTGGTGGAAAGCCCCTCTAGTTCAGGGTCAAGGGGCGAAGCCCCGGTGTGGAGTGTTAAATTTTCAATGGTGGAATTAGTCTTTGATAATGAAAAGTGTGGTAAGGGTTGTATTTAGAGCGCTTTAGAGTGGCTTATGTTAGCTAGATAGGGCGCTATATCAAATGTTGTATATTATTATTTATTATATTTATAGGCCCCCATGGCAAAATGCAGCATCTGGTATCTGGGATCGTTTGAAGTTACCCCAAACGTAATTTTAACGGATTATTTAAATGTCGACTTGTCAAACCGTAAAAAAAACTACTAGAGTTACACAACTTTCACTAAGTTTGATAGATCCATTTGCCATTAGTGATACAGTCGAAGTTCAATCTAATGTTGTTATTCCTGTACAAGCGATCATCGCGCTGTTCTTGTACCTGTATACGTTAAGATTCAACGACCTAAATCGTTAAAGCGGAAAATATGGTTATACATGTACAGTAAGACAAATATTGTAGGCTTACAAGTTGAAATAGCTGCTAACTGGGGTGAAATGTTTAGAAATGAATTGCATGGTATTGACAATAAATGTAAAAAGTTAACTGATGAAATCTTGAAGATATTTGAAAAACATATACCCTTAAAACATGTAACAATGAGACCAAATGATAAATGTTGGATGAATGGTGACATAAGAAAACATGTAAAAAAAATAGAAACAAATTGCGCATAGTATTTATCAGTAAAAGAATGGAGTTGTCCCTTGCAAATTACAAAAAAGCCAGAAATAAGGTTAGCAATATGATTAAGTATGCGAGGGAGCATTTTTATGATTTTTTTTTCATAGAAAACAGTGATAATAGTCCAACAACTTATTGGAAGATTATGAGAATGTTAATTAAAGAAAAGCTAAATACAGACATCCCCCCTTGTTTGATAACATATCTAATAAAGTGGTATCTGATGATATTGGTAAAGGCGAAATTTTGAATAAATACTGCCAGTCTGTTACTGATCTTGAAGACTTGCATGAATCCTTGCCATATCTTGATAAGAGAAAAAAAACACTCTAGTATTAGTGAGTTACAAGTCACTCACCAAGAAATAGTAGATATTATCCAAAACTTTGAAAGTAAACAAAGCTTCTGATCCAGACAGAATAAGTCACAGGATGTTAAAACTTGTTGTAAATGAGATTGCTGTACCTCTTTCGTTTTTATTTCATGAATCCTAAGTATATATATGACAATTTCCTGGTCTTGGAAACTTGCTCATTTTATACCACTCTATAAGAAAGTGATTCTGACCTTCCGGAAAACTAAGGGTCAATTTCGTTATTGAGCTGTGTAGGAAAGGTTTTTGAACGCATCGTATATAATAAGTATGTGTATAATTACTTTGTTGTAAAAAACTTGTTGTATAAATTACAGTCTGGATTTCTTCCAAACCACTCCACTACTCATAAACTAATAGAGGTTTTCCATAAAATTGTAATCGTGCTCGAAAACAAAGAACACGCTGCGATTATATGTTGTGATTTTTCGAAGGCTTTCGATTGGGTTTGGCACAGAGGTCTAATTTTGAAAAATATGGAATCACGGGTTTGTTAAAATGGTTTGAACACTACCTCTCTGAAAGAAAACAATCAGTTGTTATGAACAATTGTACATCTTTTGAAAGAGTTCTCAAAGCTGGAGTCTCACAAGGTTCAGTCTTAGGGCCACTTTTATTTCTCATATATATTAATGATATTTCAGATACTTTATTATCAGTTGCTCGACTATTCGCTGACGATACTGCATTATCACATTCATTTAGGAATTTGGCCGAATTGGAGCAAGTAATAAATTTTGATTTAGAACAACTAAAACTTTGGTCTCATAAATGGTTAATGGCTTTTAATCCGCGAAATAATGAATAATCATTAATTTAATTTTTGACTCTATCTTATGAACCATAATTAAATTTTGACGGAAACTCGATTCCGATTGTAAATTCTCATAAACATTTAGGAGTTAATATTAGTGGGGATGCTAAATGGAGTTATCATATTGATAGCATTATAAATAAAACTAAGAAGAATTTATCAATCCTTAGAAAATTAAAATATACTTTAAGTAGGAAGAATCTAGAGAAATTATATTTGGTGTATGTTCGGCCTCTTTTAGAATATGCTTGTGAGGTTTGGGATAATTGTAACGAAAGAGACACAGAAGCTATTGAAAACATCCAATATGAAGCCGACAGAATCATTACAGGTTTGCCAAATTTTACAAGTAAATTTTGACTATATCAGGTATTAAACTGACAACCTTAAAAGAACGTACGTAGGCTGTTCAGAAAACTCCGTCTTTTTATAAGATTCAGTCAGGAAATTCACCAAACTGTCTTGTGTCTCTTCTTCCTCCGAAAGCGTCTGACCTGTATAGCTTATAATCTTAGAAATAGAGACGAATATAAAATGCATCACTATCGTCTTAGTCTAACCTATGTCTTCTTTTATACCTAATACCTGTAACTTATGGCATAACCTGTCTCTGGAAAAAAGAAATAGTACCACCTTGAAACAGTTTAAAAGTTCTATCTAACCAAATAAAGTATGTAAAAAAGTTTTTAAAGAGTATGGAGAAAGGAACGTGAACATTTTACATTGTCGTATACATGTACGTAATAATGTTAGTAATCTTAATTATGATTTATAACGTGTCAATCTAATTGACAGTCCATCCTGTAGATGTGGACATCATATGGAGGACCCTAAATTTTTTATTTGTTATTGACCAATTTATAATGTACAAAGAAATACAATGTTTCAACATTTAATATGGTATACCAATATTACATAAGAAAGTCTTTTGTTTTGTGATATTTCGTTAGATATAATATCAAACGAAGTTATTTGTAAGCATGTTCAAAAATGTATTGTTGATAGTAAACGGTTTGCGTAAATACAGGTCAATATATAGTGTCATCTAAACCTAGCTGTTGTCTCTTACACTGTTATACTCAATTCATCTATCAGTAAAAAAAATCCTGATCTATGACTCTAGAGACCTATTTTTCTGCTTTTCTTATACTATGTGAAATATATTATGTGCTAGTTAGTATTAGGCCATTGCTAAGTTTTGCCTATGTGTACTTGTATTATGGAGAGGTCACTGATAAGTTGTGATAACTTGCGTCCAATAATTTTGTGTAGTATTTATGCAATATAATTTATTTGAATTTAAAAATTAAATCCTATGTAAACCAATTTTGGCCGAATTCACTTCGGATTTTTGGGGTCAGTTTAAAAGGTCAAATCAAAAGTCACAGTGGTTACAGATGGACTGACATGTTGGGAAAATGCCGACTTCCTGTAGACTGGCCCCGTCTCTAGATAATTGAACGATTTTGGGAAAAAAATGAACTCTAATAATTTAGATCTATTTTAAGTTCTCAAACTAAGGGGAGATAAGCTATTAGTAAAAACTTAGGGGCTGGTAGCCAGTTGGTTTTCCTGTTAGCTACTTGCATCCTCTTGAAGGATAATGTCATCGGATCTAGACTAAATGAAGATAGATGGTGACCCTTGGATAGAGGGAGATGTCTTTTGAGTTTGTGTATGCAAAGTCGAATATCAGGTCACTGTATGGTTAGGCTAAAATGTTGCAAAATACGTTGGTTTTGGTTCAATTAAAATTTTCTGTCTGCCAAGTTTGGGTGAATGATTCCTATATTGACTTTGAAATAAAATGTCTGGATCAATATGGCAATAAATAGATTGAAAATTTGGGTCTTGAACGGTACACTGCGATCAAATCTAGCCAGACTTGGGTCAGTT